CCTCATGAACAGAGTCAGCTCTTCCTCCCCATGCAATACAGAGATGCCCTGACCTCCCATCACTGCTCTCCTTCCAACCAGACTCACATCACCTCACAGTCACTGCAGCTAACAGCACTGTGCACCTCACAACACCTAGACAGGTTTCAAACGAGTCTGCCAGTCCCACCCGTTCCCCAGCTGCTCACACTGCAGCAGAGGTGAGCAGCCCTTAGGGTGCTGAAGCACCTCTGCCCCCCTCACCGAGCCCTCTGCTCTGTCCTGCTGAGCACTCAGCACACCCAGTGCCCTGACCAGGATCCTGCTCACAACACCGACACCGACACCGGAGCAGCACAGAGCTCTGGGGCTCACAGCACCCCGAGCCAGGACTGCCCTGCAGACAGCACTCCCTCAGCTCCCTCTGAGCCACACGGTGAGAACACACTGGTAGTAGCTCAGCCACTCCACACTCTGTGAGAACACACTGGTAGTAGCTCAGCTACTCCGACCATGCTGTAACTTCACGGGCCTACTCTGACACTGCTGTAACTTCACGTGCTCCTTCCGAGGTGAGTCACAGCCAAGACGCTTTTATCCTCTCTCTCCAAAATTAGGACAGTGACAACTCACTAATGATCACAACCACTTTGCTCTTTCATTCAAGGCTTTTCCTCACACACTTCTACGTGGCTAACAGAACTCAACATGTTAAAGAGCAAAGGAGCTACACACATTAAGAAGAATTTGACTTCTGACAGGGTACTCAGGCCCTGGGATATTGCCCAGGGAGGTGGTGCAGTCACCATCCCTGGAGGTGTTTCAGAGGTGTCTGATGTGGCACTGGAGGATCTGGGTTAGGGTTTGGGGGTTCCAGCAGGGACAGTTAATGGTTGGACTCGATGACCCTAGAGGTCTCCTCCAGCCTCTGGGTCTGTGGTTCTGTGACAGCCACAAGGGGCTTCAAACAGCAAACACATGGCACAAAATGCTCATGGAATGAACAGTCACTTCTGCTCAAGCAGGCAAGACCACTAACTCTATCCCTGTACAAATCAAACTGAATCTATACTTATGGGGATGTTTCCAGAGAGTACGTTTTACCACTGTAAACATAGCACAAACTGCAAATTATCTCCAAGATCTTAATATGTCACTCTAAACTTCTCAAGTACCTATGATACAGACTTAACACACACATCCACTTCTACTCCCACATTAAAAATCCACTCATGGACATTATATTTGAACTCAAACAATGCCTAGAGTTTAACAACAAAACTTCTGCTTCCTTGCTGCCCTAACAGTTCAGAGAACAAAGGAAAACAGAGAATTCTCAAGGGAAGGAACCAGAAATAACTACTGGGTTAATAACATGGCTGCAGGGAGAGGAGAGAGGGAATGGCCTTGAGCTGAGCCAGGGCAGAGTCAGATTGGATGTGAGGAGAAATGTTTTCCCTGTTGTGGTGTTGAGGCCCTGGGATATTGCCCAGGGAGGTGGTGCAGTCACCATCCCTGGAGGTGTTTCAGAGGTGTCTGATGTGGCACTGGAGGATCTGGGTTAGGGTTTGGGGGTTCCAGCAGTGACAGGTTAAGGGTTGGACTCGATGCCCTTAGAGCTCTCCTCCAGCCCTGATGTTCTGTGACTGGCAGAGGACAAGAGAGGCAGCTCTGCTCTCCCCACCTGCACCACAAGACATGCACAGCACAAACAAGCAGAGGGGCAGGAAGCAGCTCACATAGAGCACATGAGTATCAGAGGTGGCACATGCCAGGGGAATTCCAGTGCTGGCAAAACATGAATTCTGCCCACAAGTGATAAATCTGAGAACAGCTGGGGAATGACAGGAGAGGAAAAAACCACCTCATGCAGTATAACCCACCGAGTGCACTTTAAGAAACTTCCTTTCCATCACTGGAGACAGACCAGTACTAGATCTGGAATGCCAAGCCAGGAAATGTTTATATACTGCAGTTTGGTGTTTTGGTATCACTGAAATTCAGAGAGAGGAGGCAAAGCAGAGACACCACCACTGCCTGTGCTGGGAGGAGAACTGCCACCTTCCACAGCACTAATGAACAAACAGGTACTTAATGTGCTGTTGCCAAGACACAGAACACACAGGAAAAAATCAAGCTCTGTCAGCAGGAGACTGAAGCAGAATTGTCTGGCACAGAAGGGAAGCAAAAGCAGCAATCCTCTCCCTAAGTCCCACCAGATGCCCATGGAAGGGCAGGAGGGACCTGTAAGCAGGGCAAAGTTATCCAACCCACATGCACAGCAGGTGACTATGTGGATCCCTACTGATCCTGCAACCTCAGTACTCCATCTCCTCCAGGCTGCACAGCAGCACCTGCACGAGTTACTCTGCAAGTCAGGTGGGGGAGGGAACCTGGTTAACAAAGCCAGAGTCAGCCAAGAGGGAAAACACATGAGGACGCAAAGCAGAAAACACCAGCAAGAAAAGCCTCTTTGGTCTTTTTTTTGGCCTGGGCAGCACTGACTAGTGCAATATCTCTCTGAGTTCATGTGCTTTGTAGGCAGATCTGTCCCCTGGGAGTGACAGAGGAGCACCAGGACCCTCCTCTCAGTGCAGCCTTTGCTAGCTGGGGGGCTGTGCCAGCACTGCAGAGAGGAGCTTGCCTTGCTCACATAGCAGCACAGGGAAGTTCAGGCTACAAAGTGGGAAGTGTGTGCTCTCACACCCCAGAGCAGAGCAGCACACAAATTCTCACCAACACCACGATGAGAGTTTCAGTAAAACACACACAAAGCTGACCCCACCGTTCCCCAGGAGCCAGCAAACCTGTGCCCACTGAGTCCTGCATGCCCAGGGTTCAGACAAACATCTTTCAGAGGGAACACGACAAGGTTTGTGCAGTGACACTTACATCTGATTTTTAGCCGCTTGTCTCTGAGCTTTCCGTTCTTTCCTTTTTTGATCTGGTGGCTTAGCAAAAACAATTTCAATGTTTTCTCCCTCTAAATCTTTGCCATTCATTTCTTCCATTGCCTGAAGGAATTAACCAGACTTTAAATACACTTCTAAGCACATCTGAAGTTATACATTTCATTCTGCCTTTTAGATTATGCGTTTTGTTATCCAGAGCTACAATAACAATACAAAGCACAGGAGGTTTCATCAGACAGCACAGCGTGGTGGGTTCCAGAGCCACCTGCTCCTGAGTGGCTCTCAAACCCAGCCCTTCCTGTGCCAGGGCAGAATCTCCACCCAGCTATGAACGGGCTCAGTCTTTCACAGTGTTTCAGCTCACAGAACTGTCCTGAGCACAGTTCTGTTACACACAGACAGTACATGCACAATGTACAGAGCAGAACACAGACACTGCTGGTGCTGGAGATCAGCATATGCTTCTACTCCTTCATTTTACTTGTATACATAAATACTTTTCAACCAGAAGCCAAAAATTAGAATTTGTCTCATTCTGACCACAAGAAGAAAGCATAACAAATCAAACTCCCCCAAAAACTCCTCCCCCCAAACCCCCAACAGCCCCCACCACACACAGTCCCCATGGGTCACACTCAGTGCTACAGGCTCAGTCTGAGCAGAGGAATCCTGAAGATTCTACCACTTTCAGGGCTCTCCACAGCTAAGCCTTGACAGGATACACCTCTTATCAAGGCTCCTTCCATCATCTCAAAGGCATCTGGGTGAGTAGGAAAACTGAATCCCCTTGTATCCTGCCTCCTCCCACGGAGCATGAAAAATAGATACACTCCAGGCAGGAGGGAATTACACTGCTCCTTCCAGATGGCAAGCAGACCAGGCTAGCAAACTCCAGGAATGACAGTTACTCAGTTGTCCATCACAAAAAAAAAAAAAAAAAAATCGACAAGAAAAAGGTGTTTATTCCACACCATAAAGAGGAAATTATTCTGTTTCTGGGAAAAACATGAAAGTATTACCTAAGATCTTATCACCTGCCCTAGAGTCTAGAATAATTGGGTGAGGAGTCACCCAACTTCTGGCACTGAGTGTCAGAGGTAACACAGGACTACCCCAGACACTCAGCAGCACAGTCACTCAGGACAGAGCAGCCAAGAGCCACTGGCCGAGGAGACACCCAGCAAGGACCAAGTGGCAGTGACAACGAGTCACCACTGCTCCAGACAAAGCCTTTAGCTCCAGAGAGGAGAGGCACACACAGAGCTCCCAGGTGTGTCCCCACTCACACACACACACACACAGAGCTCCCAGGTGTGTCCCCACTCACACACACACACACACAGAGCTCCCAGGTGTGTCCCCACTCACACACACACACACACAGAGCTCCCAGGTGTGTCCCCACTCACACACACACACACACAGAGCTCCCAGGTGTGTCCCCACTCACACACACACACACACAGAGCTCCCAGGTGTGTCCCCACTCACACACACACACACACAGAGCTCCCAGGTGTGTCCCCACTCACACACACACACACACAGAGCTCCCAGGTGTGTCCCCACTCACACACACACACACACAGAGCTCCCAGGTGTGTCCCCACTCTCTCTCACACAGAGCTCCCCACTCACCTTCACTGCTCCGTCCCGCTCGTCGAAGTGGATGAACGCATAGTCTTTTAGCTTCTTCACTCGCTCCAGCTTCCCAAACTGACTGAAGGCCTTTTCTAGGATCTCCTCCGTGACAGTGTTGGCAAGATTACGTACAAACAAGACTTTTACCTGAGGCAGGGGGAGAGAGAACAGCTAAGAAGCACGATCCCCTTTGAGAACACCACACGAAGCTTCGCAGCACTGAAAACATCCTCACGTTTCTGCACAGCATTTGACAAACACACACGAGAATTTACACTGAGACAGCCACACAGCATGAGTTAGCTCCAGAATTCCCTGACAAACATCAGGGTTATGGAAGTATTAGCATCCTGAAAGGCTGTGCTGGTGTCTAAAAGGACCCCAGCAGGAGCAATCTTGGGCTCAGAACACTTTCAGGCTTGGCAGAGGCAACCAGGCCTGGTTACACACAAACCACCTATGGAGACATTCATTGCTCAGACAGGTTCTTGCTCAGGTGTTTGCACAACAGGCAGCACTGCAGTATGTGGGCCAGGGGTGAGAGGCCTGCACTCCCCAGCTGCTCAGCCCGTGGCTCCTAAGCTCCAGCTGCACCCAGCAGTGCCAGGACTGTGCTGCCCAGGAGCAGCCAGTGACTCCAAGCCACTGCCACCAGGCAGAATGCAGAGGGGTCACCCAGGCTGACACTGCCCAGTCACCCTGGACAAGCTGTGCCCTTCTCTGGGAAACAGCCACCTCCACATGGCTCTGGAGCTGCTCCCTCCCCCAGCCCCAGGGCATGCAATCCAGCTCCTGAGCTACCAGGGGCTGCTCTGCAGCTTCTGAAATCAGACAGGCAGGTAATCCTGACTCCCTGTCAACTGCCTGACAGGGACTAAACAGTCACTGCGAAGTTTCAGCCACCACCAGCTGCTCATGACAAAAAATAAAGAGCTGTCTGACAGAGTGACCTAAAGCATTACTTGATACAGCAAATAACACACACTGGGCACCAGGAGCTCCCTGTCAGTGACACATGCACAGACTGCACACTGAGGCTGCACTAAATGACTGCAGCATGTTCACATGATGCCAGCCCTGACTGCCCACCGCTCCCAAGCACCTTGCACTGGCTGGGAGGAGTACCACGTGCTGGCACCACCTCTGACAGCCTGGGCACCTCCTGCTGCCAAGGAATGCTCACCCTAACCCTCCTGCAGGGCAGCTGCTGCTCACCCCCCCCGTGCCCCGAGGGGAGCAAACCCTGACCTCCTGCTCCTAACCCCGAAGGTCAGTGCAAACAACACCAGGTGTGAAAGGACCAAACCAAGCATCCTTTGGTTTCTGCTCCCACCACACAGAACCATCAGGGTTGGAGATCTCAGACCACTGAGCCCAACCATGAACCTGTCACTGCTGGAAGCCCCAAACCCTAACCCAGATCCTCCAGTGCCACATCAGACACCTCTGAAACACCTCCAGGGATGGTGACTGCACCACCTCCCTGGGCAATATCCCAGGGCCTCAACACCACAACAGGGAAAACATTTCTCCTCACATCCAATCTGACTCTGCCCTGGCTCAGCTCAAGGCCATTCCCTCTCTCCTCTCCCTGCAGCCCTGGCAGGAGAGCCCAAAACATGCCCAGAGACAGCAGAGACTTCCAAAACTGTCTCACTAGCTGAACTAGGATGGGATGCAGCATCTGGACAAAGGGATACTACAGATCATAACCCTAACCCAGCTATCAACTCCAGTCTTTGGCACTGGTTCCTCTTGCTGATGCTCAGGACATCAGGAGCCACAGTGAACTCCACAAGGAAAGCTGCTTCCCATCAGGTATGAAGCCTCTCACAGAATGGGTGAGGTTGGAAGGGCCCACAGTGGGTCAGGTGGCCCAACCCCCTGCTCCAGCAGGGCCATCCCAGAGCACATGGACAGACAGTTCTGGAGTATCTCCTCCTCCATGGCTTGATAATAAGAGCAGCTTTCAGTTACTGTAACCCACACATAACTGTTTTTAGCAAAATATCCTAACAGGTACCTTAGCCTGATTACATCAAGTTTTGTGATGTAACAAATGGGTGGAAGAAATGGAAGCTTTTGAACTCATGTTCCCTGTTCTGCTTCGTCAGAAGGATGAAAACTAGAAGCTCCTGAGGAACCCTAAGCAGCCTTCACTAACAGCTGACCCTGCCAGACACCCTCAGACACCTGACAGAACAATCACCTCCTTACAAGATGCACTAACAGTGTCTTTTATAGAAACAAAAACCACTGAATTTGTGTGTTCCTGGTGTAGACAAACCCACTGATCTCTAGCAGCTGGAACATTTCTAACACCTTTGGTCATGTCACTGATTAGGAGTCAAAGATGACAGCAAAGCTGTCAGGCAGGTTACAGCACAGGTGGAGGGAAGGTGAACCCATTTTTACTTCGTTTTAGCTAAGAGGGAGGGAACAAAGAACAACAGAAAAAGGAGGTTCTCATCAGGGCTCAGAGATTACCACACCGAGAAGCCACAAACACACCAAACCAGCAGCACACTCAGACCAGCACTGTGTCATAATGGCACAACTCCATTTCAAACTGCCTAAGGTAGGACTGCCCCCAGAACTTCTGGGACCTGCTCCTCCTCCTCCCTACAGCACAAACACTTCAGGCCACATTCCCCAAGGGTTACTAGCCCTGTCTCTTGCCCTGTGATCTGCCACAGGACTTTATTTACTGCTTAAGCTGCCCCTGCAGAGCTCCTCTAGCCTCGGCCACCTACAGAAACCAGGTAAAACACTAATACACCTCTCCAGGCTACAGGTGTGAGAGGCAACCCAATGACACTGGGGAGGGATTAAGCTATCAACTCCTGGAAGCTGGAAAAAAGTTCACTGTGGACCAGAAGTCAAAGCCCAGACCAGTGACACTCTGCTCTGTCAGTACAGGCACTAACCTCCTGGAGCACACAGCTCCAGAATGCAGCTCCATCCCTCTCCACACTCCAGCTACTTCCCTCTGAAGGTCACAGCAACCTGGGTCCACACACTGCTCTCCACAATGCTGCACCAGGAGCCTGGAGGACAGAGCCCCATGCCCTGCAGCAGCTCAGACTGAGGTGCCACACACTGATGAGATGACATGCTGCTGCTGGGGGCCTGAGAACACTCAGGGCAATCTGTCTTCCTCGTACTTTGCTTGTGGACTTCTGTTTCTAGCAGACTTGGCAAGGAAACTCTGGACTAGATGGTGATTCTGATAAAAACAACCTACTCTTCCTACTCAGAGTTTCCTCCAGAGTCTTCCACCACAGCAACGTGCAGACAACGTGGGCCAGCACCTCTCCCTCAGCTCCAGGTGGACAGCAGTCAGGACACCCAACCTGCAGCTCACACCCACACTACTGACTGCAGCAGCAGCTCCACTACTCTTTGCATCATGAGAGAGACAGCAACGAGCACCAGAAAACAAACCTAACACTCAGAGAAGGGCCAGACACTGCCAGTGTCTCCAGGGGTACAACAGGTGGGCAAGGCACTGGGTCAGGCACCAATGCTCATCCCAACTTCTGCCTTCAGACACAAGCCAACATTCCCTGCTTTCCCAGCACTCCCACTCACATCATCTCCCTCCTCCATACACCTCCAACCCAAGCTCCAGGCCCCATCCTTGGCACGTGGCACTAGGAGCATGCAGGTCCATTTCCTCTCCCTTTTCCACACTGATGTTCACATTCCATTTCAAATAAAAGGCACTAACACATTCCAGAGCTGTACAGGGAAGGGGGAAAGCACAGTTACTTCATTCCTTTGGCCTTTCACTCCCCACATCTGTAAACTGACTTAGGAAATACACCTGATTACGTCCTCTGTGATTGGTTTTCCTGCTCAGCTATTGAGCTGTATCAGCAGTTCCTGCTCACTTGTTTTAACAGTCTGGTGGGTTAGGTCTCCTCTCTCTTGAGCCAAGACACTGCAGAGACACACAGGCTGTCACATTCAGGAAGTGCCACCTCCTACAACGTTCACCTGCAAAAAAAATCCCTGCTGCGTCTGTGGTGCCAGGCATGGAAAGCAAAGTATGCAGACAGGAGAGTCCAAAAGCTTCTGTAAGACCTTACAAAAGCAGCTTTTTCCCTAAAATGAGCCCCCACCCCAACCCTTTCCCCTTATGGCTCACCAAAGAGGAGATCCCAGCCAAGCTATCTTACTAGGCCCATCAAAGTAGGACTCCAGCAAGTGTCGTGTCTCGGGTGAGAGTAAAGGCATGGAAAGCAAAGTATGCAGACAGGAGAGTCCAAAAGCTTCTGTAAGACCTTACAAAAGCAGCTTTTTCCCTAAAATGAGCCCCCACCCCAACCCTTTCCCCTTATGGCTCACCAAAGAGGAGATCCCAGCCAAGCTATCTTACTAGGCCCATCAAAGTAGGACTCCAGCAAGTGTCGTGTCTCGGGTGAGAGTAAAAGCACAGACGGAAGGCAAGCAAAGAGAGAGAGATAAGGACATGGCTAGCCAGGACTGTCCATCAAACAACTCAGCTACACAACACAACCCAAAGACACAGGCTTGGACACAGTTTGTTTTGGGCACAGTACCAGGCAGGTATAGGAACAACTGCTACAGGTACTTGGGAACGTTACAGTCCAGACTTCAGTTTCACCTCAGTGCTGGAGACCCAAAATATTACTGTGTAGGGACTGTGAGGAGCTCCAGGCACAACTGCCTGCCCAACTCCTCAGAGGGCACTGCTGAGGGCAGCTCTGCACCAGCATTTGAGCACGTTTGGGTGCTGACACGTCCCAGCCCTGCAGTGACACAGCTCCAGCTTTAAAACCAACTGAGGCTTCTCCTGCAGTCACATCCTGACTTCTGCCCCTCCAGATACCAAGCTACAAAACCACTGTGACTTTGGAGTCACCACCAGCACTTCCAGATGAGAAATGAACACGTCACCCTCTGTGGCATGTATTACACTCACTATTCAGCCCTGGCAGCACAACATAGGTGAGTCCTCCCGTAATTCCTAGGACTGTAGCCGTATTTTTATCATCTCACCCACAACACCTCTGCCAGGAAGGCTGGGAGAGGCTATTTCCACCTAGGCTAACATCAAGCAGACCCAAGAGGGAACAGAGCCCTTGCAAGCGATGGTGGTTCCCCTCCAGCTGCATTACCTTTGCCATGACTTCGGGGTCTGGGTCTTCTATAGGGTCAGCCCATTCCACTGTGACAACATTCCCCCAGACTTTCACTTTGCCACTCATTAACCTACGTCTGGCCTGCGCAGCAGTTTTGTGGTCTTCATACTCCAGGAAGCAGAAACCTCTGTTCTTCTTCTTGTCATCAGGCTGATGGTACAATATGACATCTGTAAGCCCCTCTGGAATCAAGCGAAACATTGAGCTGTTAGAGTTTCAAGCCATTCACCTGTACTACAAAGAGGGGATAATCCACCTGGCAAGTGGATCCAAACAAGTACACACAGCCCAAATGCTGAGACCATGTGCATTAGAGCTGCCCTACTAACATTTTTCAAGAGAGGCAGTAGCCTATCCTAACTTGGGTTCTGTTTTTACCAAGTGAAGAAAGCTCAGTGGCTATGGAAGAACACCTTTCCTCTGAGTGGAGAGGGGCTAAGGGCAGCCAAAAGTTGTGTCTTGTCAATTCTGCTCTTAAGCCTCTAAGTCAGGCTGAGGGAGTTGGGGCTGTCGAGCCTGGAGAAGAGAAGGTTGTGTGGAGAGCTCAGAGCACCTTGCAGGAGCTGAAGGGGCTCCAGGGAAGCTGCAGAGGGATCTGTGTTAGGAGCTGCAGGGACAGCACAAGGGGCAATGGGCACAAATTGAAGGAGGGAAATTGAGGTTAGATGTTAGGCAGAAGTTTTGCCTGTTCTGGTGGTGAGACCCTGTCCCAGGGTGCCCAGGGAGGCTGTGGCTGCCCCAACCCTGGCAGTGTTCACAGCCAGGTTGGATGAGCCTTGAGCAACCTGCTCTGGTGGGAGGTGTCCCTGCCCAGGGCAGGGCTTGGGGCTGGCTGAGCTCTCAGCTCCATCCCAACCCCTGGTTCTAAGTCACACCACTTATCAGTGTGGGTTTTCCAGGCATATCTAAAGAACAAAAGATAAAACTTGTGTGGCTTTAACACCTAAAAAGTTGCAGTGTTGCTCCAAAGAACCTTCAGTATATCATTTAGTACCAAAGTCATCAAACATTACCTTTGCCAGTTCATATGCTCAAAACCAGATCCTTACTTACTGAAAAGTTACTGAACTTTCCAATTTCTCTGGAAGAGTTTTTCAAACTTTGCACACTCATTCTGCAGTGTGTAAGCCCTGAGACCACTCACTGAGTCTAACCACAAGAGTTTCAGCTCTCAGCACACCAACAGCTCCAACCCCAAACCAAACACCACATCCAAGAACTGGGACAAATGCTGAGTGGGTTTGGACTCATCCCCCTTCAACCACAAGCCAGAAGATGGGGAAGGGAGCTCATCACTGACAGGTCTGACACCCTTCCAGCTCTACAAAACATGGTTACTGACTTACCTGTTACTTTGCTGAATTCTTCCACAATCTGCTCCTTGGTTTTACTCTTGGGAATAGATCCAACAAAAAGCCTATTATTGGCAACAGAGATGCACACACCAATGTGTTTTCCAGAGCGAATTTCATGGTTGTTGTACTGCAAGGAAGACAATTGGACTCTCATCAGTGACAGGTAACTTCCACTCCCCTTCCACAGCAGCAAACCAAGTATTTCACTTCTGAAAACCCAGCCTTGAATTTTTGCAGCGTAACACATCCTTGTGATGCCCATTCACAACTATCCTGAGCTAGACTCGTTCTCTAAGGTATCTCCACAATTTCAACCAGTAATTTCCCTTTTGCCCAAGCCTCTTAACACTTGTTTTTTCAGAGACTTTTCTGTGCAGAAGCACCAAAGGTAAATCTCCTGTCCCAATTACCAGCACCAAGAACTCTCCCCTCACAACAGCAAACAGAAGCTCCTCTGCAGGTTGGACCCACGAACTGCTGGTTTGTGTACAATGCAAGGCATAAGCTGCAATCAGAATCAGATTCCCTTAAGTTCCCAAATCAGCCAGAGCCAGCCCTGGCCAGGTCTGCTCTGCAGAACAGGCACGAGCCACCAGCAAATGCTTTCCAAAGCACAGAGATTACACAGTAAGATAGTAAACAGTAGCAACAACCCTCTACTGACTTCAGAGCCCCCGAGTTCCACTCAAACATTGCTCCTGTAACAGGCTTGGCTATCCCCTGAGCCGTTCAGGGGGGAAAGGCCTTTCTGCAAACAGGTGTTGACCAAGCTGCCTCTGCTGGGATGCAGACACAGACAGGAGGGCACAGGGGACACCAGCCCTGCCTGGTGGCATGTCCTGCAGCACAGTCCTTCAGCACAGTCTGGCACTCAGCACCTCAGTGACAGCTTTTTGTTCCAGGATGTCCTTTGCACTTGGTGGCAAATCTTCCTGGCCAGCAACTGTGCTGCACCCCCCAAGCTCTGTGCAGCAACACCAGGGTGAGGATGTTTATTTGTTTACTCTGGACAAACAAAACTACACCACCAGAAGTTTTCAAACCCAGGGAACTGCACCAGGAGTGAGCTGAAAGGAGAACTGTACACGTGGAAAGAACATGGAGCAACACCTTCCCAACTAACGGCCTCAAAGCATAGCAGGGCAGAGTGAAAAACCTTCTGTCTCCATCTGCAGCCCGTGTGGCAGAGGAGCAGCTGTGTGTGCATGCTGTGACAGATTAGAGCAGCCCAAAAAACACCCTCACAGAACACCTTTCAAGAAGCTGCAGGTTATTAGCATGGAAACTGATTCTCCATTAACTCGAGTGTACATAAACATTTTACTACATCAGGGAACTTGTTGCACCCCAAGGTGCATGGAAGAGGCTTCTAGAGAGGGGGGCAGTGCCCCAAAGCTGCTTTTAGGCTGTGTGAGAGAGGCACTTGGGCAATGCCTTCTTGCTGGTGAGAGTGGCCAGCCCTGAAGTGCTCGGGCAGTTGGGTGAGATGGTCCCTGCAGGTCCCTCCCAAACCAACTGCTCCAGATGGTCACTGCAGGTTCCTCCCACAGGAAATACTCTGTATGGAGAACGGAAGGTATTCTCCAACTGCTCCTGCTCAAGTGCAAGACTGAGGTTTGGCTGCACACTTCAGCCAGGCAGAGTCTCTCACACAACTCGTGGCAGCACAGCAATACTTCATCAGCTAAAGAAGTTAATGTATTCCACCCTACTGCAACTCCACTGACAGCAGTTTCCAGCAGTTTTTCCACACCACAATACATAACCACTACTTTCACCACACAGAAAACAGCCTTCAGCTGGGTGCTCTGAGCAGCAAGCTGGGGGTTTCCAGGTGAACAGTCTGCACACCAGCTGGACACCTGGACACAAACAGTGGTGTGGGTGAGGTGCCAGCACAGCCAGCCTGCGGTGCCGGCACACTGCTCCCCACCACCACCAGCCCCACCCGGTGCCCTCCAGACACTGGCAGCTCATTTCCTGCCTCTGACTCCGCCAACAACTTCTCCCAGCAAAGTGTGCCCGAGGTCTGTCCTGTCACTTTACACACCTCCCTCCAGTTTCAGCTGGTCTCCAGGAGCAAATGGCAATTTGCTGTGCAGAGCTGGCAAACTGCAGCAGGGGCACACCTGCCCAACTCACCTGCACCTCCACCTGCTCCAGCCCAAAACACCGACCGCTGCGAGAGCTCTCTCTGTTTTCCTACACGCCTCACCCCCAGAGCATCCACCCTGCACATGTCTACAACAGCTTATTCCAACCTCTAGAAAACTGAGAGCTGATGACTTTAGGGAGGGAGAACTCAATGTGTGTGCAGAACAACACAACTTCTCAACCAGCATAATAAAAGCAAACCTTAATTGGAGAAATGACTGAGATTCAAAAAAGAGCTACACTTTGGCAGTGAGTGATTGTGTGACCACTTGAGACACCACTTTACTTACCCAGCAAGGGTTAATCACACTGAATTAAGTACTGGATGTAGAGTTAATTACTGTTCATACCTGTCATCTCCTCAGTACCAGGCCACAGCATCACTCTGGTTTTGTCTCAAGCACAGCCAGAACTATTTCAAACACAACTTAGGGAATTCTCCCCCTTTTTAAGTGGCTTAAAAATGCATAAACAAAATCAAGCCTTCAGCCTTTTAAGCTGCAAGGTTTCCCCTGGTTAATGAATGCAGCAAGACAACATGAAGTGTATGCAAAAACTCCAGGTTTACATGAAGTTGGCATAAAGGCTGTGGAGGACACAAGAGCCACACAAATATGAACTGTATGCAAAGTATGTTACGGCAACTCCAAGAGCCTGGAGACAGCTCAGGTTATTCTCTGCTGCACTCTGGGTATGGACAAAAACTTAGGTGTCTCTTATCACTCAGAGCCTACAGGTAATGCAGAGACTTCTGGTCTCATTTGTTCTGCACTTCACAGACCCCAAAGCCTCTGGGAAGAAGATGAAGTAACAGAAGGACCCTTATCCCTGGAGCCCAGAGAGCTGGGCAGGTTATTGGTAGTATCAAGAGGAACAGAGGCTGTTCAAATCACAGGGTATGAGCACGGCCAGGGCTGAGGGCTCAGCCTGTCCCACAGGCTCTCAGCAGCCTCTCCCATGCACACGTGTAACTACCACAAGGGACAGACCTACAATTTCCAGCTGAGCTCCACAGCCATAATTTGCTGATACTCCAGCAAGTCACTTCTAGACAACATGGGAAACTTGTAATACACCAAACTAGCCAGGCAGCTATGGCTGGAACTGGTGAAAACATCACAGGATCCAACTGGAAACTAACCCTGCTGTCAGGGGTTAGCATAAGGGCTGGAAATCTGCCCCATCTGTTACAACACTTTGCCTGACAGAGAAACACAGCACAATGCATGTCAAAGCTCAGAATGAAGGGACAGCAAGTACCTGCTGCTCCAGGGGCAGACTGAGCCTGGGACCTGGTGTTACTGGATGGGAACACGACTGGAGTGACTTTGCAGAGCAGCAAAACACAGCTAAGGGAAGCAAACTCCTGCTCAGTCCATTTCCAGGTGCCTCTGAGAACACGTGGGATTGGACCCACTGCTTTGCTAAGTCACACAACATAAACAGGCTGACAATGAGAGGACCAAGAGGCTGTGCAGCTCTCCTCAGTACATCTGATTGCACACTGGAGCAACCAACTGCTCTTTTAAAAGCTACACAGCACACACCAGACACTGCTCTACTTCTCCTTTTGGAGACACTTCTACACTTTCTCAACACACATTCCCATTTGCAGCTTGATTTGTCTCCAACTATTGACTTTCACTATGAGTATGCCAATAGTGCAGTACCTTAATTTAGGATCTACACACACCTTACACAGGGGGTGGGGCTGGATGATCTCTGAGGTCCATTCCAACCCCTACAATTCTGTGATTCTTATTCCAGCACAAGCTATGCTAACCCTACTGTGAGAATACAACACCAGAGCACTCCAGAGTGACGTGGTGAGCACTCCAGTCACGGCACACACTGACCAGAGCCACGTCAACACAGCAGCAACTGCCCCAAACA